TGGGGGGGCGCGACCTCCTCCACTTCTCCGCTTGGAACCCGCGCTGTCTTCGGGGTTGACCGAGGAGCGAGCATCCGACTGGAAATATGGATGGAAAAAAAAAGAAGAAGAAAGAGAAAAAACAATAAAAAAAGGAAAGAAAAAAAAATGAGAAAAAAACAAAAAAAACAAAAAAAAAAAAAAAAAAAAAAACACTGGGCAAGGCGCCGATGGCAGGCGCCGTCCCCGCCCAAGTGCCAAACTTCCTTAACTATGCTGCATGGGTCCGAATCTGACATCAAGCCGAGAGGGGATCAGCAGCGCGCTCGACAGTCTCAATCCCCCCATTGGTTGCTGACCGCGCACTTTTGAAAAACAGCCGCAACCGCTCCTTCGAAGGGTCTCCTCGCGCCGCGGCTCCGAGACCAGCGCGGGCCTGTTGGGGGCGCTCGGTGACCGCCTGCTTGATTGCATCCAACAGGTGCTGCCTCTGTTCGGGGCCATTCCCTTGAACTTGGTGCTCCCCAGTGCTGGAGAGAAGCGCGCAGGCGACGCCGCCAAATTGCCGCCGCGCCCCCGGTCAGACAGGCGCGACGCCGCTGCGACTCGCGAAATTCTCTCTCCTTGAAAACCGCCCCCGGGCATCGGCCGATGCCCGACGTGTCCCGGCTGTCGCGGCGCCTCCGCGCTCCGCGCCCTTTGCGCGCGCGAAGAAATCAAAGATTTAATCGAGCCCGGGGGCCGAAGAGGAGGACGAGCAGGGGGGGGGCAGAGGCTGGCAGGCGCGAGCCTCGCTTCCATCCGACGTTCGCCCCAGACTTCGCCCAGCGCAAGAAACGCCGCCCTCGGCCCAGAGCAGTCGGGGGCAGGGGCGGGGCCTGCGTCGTCGCCTGAGATCGGGGGCTGGACATGGGCCACAGGGGCAGCAAGGGCCCTTCATCTGACGCCTCCGCCCCGCCGGAGAGGTCGAAGAGAGAAACCAATATTCGGGGTCGACTGCGGGGGGGGAAAAAACGCAGGCGAAACTAACGTGAGACCTGAGTTTACACGCGGCTGCAGACTCCTGCTGGCAGCGGCAGGCGCGCTGACATGCGCGCGTCTAATGCCGGACTCATGGGCCCAAGGGTCTTCCGCATAATCGAATGGCGTTGGGCCGGGCATCTCGCAGAGGCCCCCTTCTCCCAATGTTCACCTTGCGGATCCTGGCCGAGATCTTCGGGGCCCCCCGCGCTCGTGGCATCGCGCTCGACAGCGCCTACGCTCCTGAACTTGCACCTCAAAGAAATTCGAAATGCTTCCTGCGAGCCAGCCGGCGAGCCACGGCTTTCTGCGGGCTTCTTCTGACAGCCCCACTGCGACTTCGATTGTCCCCCCGCGGCAGCTCGCGGAACCGCGCGACCGCTTGCGGGGCGCTCGGCGCCTCAAGATGCCGCGACACAAGCAGGGCACCTGAGGCGCGAAGCCTGAAAAAGTCAACCAGCGCGCAATCACCACGGCGCTCCTGGCGCACCTCGCACATGATGATGAACGCAGGGCCCCGTCGCCGGACTGCGCGCGGCATGCTCGATGACCGAGCCCTCTTTGCCAGCCTCGCACGCGGCGACCGCGCTTGCCTGCAGGATGGGTGGATCACCATGAGCCTGCTGAGGAACTTAGGCTTGAGCATGCTTCCAGCCTTGATGTTGAAAGCTCCCGCAGCAAACCATGATATATATATATATATATATATATCGAATTCTGCATGGTTCCGAGCTTCGAGCAACGAGACTCGTTACCTGCAACTCCGCCTTGCAGACCATAAGCAGTAATGGCGATCCCGCTGTAGCCTTTCATGTGCACTATGCGGCTGGAAGCCGTCGAGGCTGGACTGCTCAGCTGCACGTAGACGTTGGGCTGTGGACCGTGGGGAAGCTGACTGGACCTGTAAGTCCCACTTGGCCATGAACCACTCGCCGCCCTCGTGGGCGCGGCCATGCATGGGGGAAGACACTTGCCGCCCCTTCGAGGGATCATGATTGGCTGAGACACGATAGCCAGCCTTGTTAGCCTTCTTGTCCCACGACGTGAAGCGAGACTCGCGAAAATGAGTCTCGCACGCACCGACGGAATCATGCCCGTGCGACTTCACACATACTTAAGCGCCTCGTCGCCCATGGAACTGACACTCGAGAAGAAAGATAACGAATATTGATCCCTGGCCTGCACTGCAGGCCATGTTGCAGCACCCACTTCCGACGCAATCGGAAATGCTGCAGTCGTAGGAGGCTGGGAACCTACTCGCAGCTGATCGTCTTCCCCTGTCCTGGGCGGTCGTCAGCTTGCTGTTGGAGTTGGCCGCGCCTTTGTCCTTGCCCATGGCCTTGCGTTTCGCCGACTCCGCGGCTGCTGCCCGCTGCGCCCGGGACCTGGCCTGGCACAGCCTGTCGGCCTCCCGGACATGCGCTCCGTCGGCATCACCGCCCTGCGGCTGCATTGGCCCCCGAACGCCGCCACTCGCTGCTGCCTCGGCGCCGGTGGGGGCCGTGGCCGCACCAGGCTCTTGCACTCTGCGTTTCTTGGCGTCGCGGTCGGCCGCAGCCACACGCACAGACGGGGCCTTGGCCAGCATCTGCGCGATCTCCGCCTCCTTGGCGCCGAGCCCGCGCTGGACCTTCTGGGGAAACCCGCAAACGCGATTGAGCTCCTGGCGCTCGTGCTCTCCTCTTCGCGGTTCAGCTCGTCCAGCCCCGAATATCGCGCTCCGTCCCACATCACCTGGAACTTCGGTTTGGCGCCGGCGCCTCTGTCGGTTGAGACTGTCGCAGCACGCTTGGCACGTTCAGTTTCTGCAGGTGCCCGTGCTGCAAATTCCCCAGTCTCCTCAGCAGTACGGAGACCGTCCCGAAGACGAACGACAACCGCAACAACCTGGCTGTGTTTGTGGTCGAAGTCCTTCCAGATTCCGACTGCCCGCTTCACCGCATCTGCCTCCGCCCCTGGGGCGGAGACCGCCGCCGCCGTGCCCTGGGCCAGCTCCGCCTGGAGCGCCGCCTTGAACACGGGGTTGATGGTCTGCTGCTCGAATACCTTGACCAACTGTTGGTCGGACAACGACTTGGCGGTCGCGGGCCCGTCAGACTGCACGCCCTGCTGATCCTTGCTGCCCTTGCCCTTACCACGCTTGGGTGCATGCAGCTTGACCTTCTTAGAACAATGAAAGCACCCGTGCTGCCCGCAGGCCGTGCAGATCGACCAAAAACGAGTGGGCACCATCTTCCCACCGGTATCTTACCCCCTGTTCGAGCCAACGCTTGCAGCAAACCTGGAGTTGATGTGCGGTCCCCCAAGAACCGCGAAGAGGCACAGGACGGTGGGCTCTGCAAAATTGGACCCAAGCTGCTTGAGGGGAGGGGGGCAAAGGGGGAGGCAAGGGTTAGGTCGGGCATGCCATCATACAGGCGGATAGTGGACGAAAAAAATTCAAAACCATACGCTAACATAAACCAAACATAACAAATGATCCCCATACGGCTTTTCGACCATGTTTGAACAACTCTTCCTGCATGGGGACAGTAGGGGGCCACATGCGAACCCGACCCCTACCCCCCACGACTTCTGAGGGGGAGGGCGAGGTTCACTCCATTCGGGAGCTCCCGAGCGACATGAACCCCACCCTCCTCCTCAGAAGTCGTGGGGGGGTAGGGGTCGGGTTCGCATGTGGCCCCCTAGGCAGGCCCCACGCAAGGCAAGGGGGGGGAGGGCGCGCCACGGCGCGCGCCGGGACCCTCGGGGCGTTCGAACCAGCCAGAGCGTCCGAACACATCCCCCCCTGAACCTCCCATGAGATCCGGCGACGCGGAAAAAACTGGAGCACCGCTAGGGTGCCACATGTGAGCCCTACCCCTACCCCCCACGACTTCTGAGGGGGAGGGTGGGGTAGGGTCAAGCTACCCCCTCCCCGCCCGCAAGCCGTCTCGCTCACTCCCACCCGCCCTCCCAACACATACGTAACACCCGAATCTGGCCCGAGCCTGAGCATATTCAGCAATCGTCTTTGGTTGGGCAGTTCCTGGGGGCCAATCCGCCGCCGCCTCCGCCGCCGCGCCGCCGCCGCCGCCGCCGCCGCCGCCTCCGCCGCCGCTGCCGCCGCCCCCCGCTGCCAAACCGCCGCCGCCGCGCAGCCGCTGCCGCCACCGCCACCGCCGCCGCCGCCGCAGCCGCCGCCGCCGCGCCGCTGCCCCCGCCGCCGCCGCCGCCGCCGCCGCAGCCGCCGCAGCCGCCGCCACCGCCGCCGCAGCCGCCGCAGCCGCCGCCGCCGCCAAGTGTACTCTGTATTGTTTTTTGACAGGGATGGTGGGGGGAGGCCGCAACGGGCTGGCTGCGCATATTCCGCATTTGGGGGCAGAGTGTGTTTTGTATTGTTTTTTACAAGGGATGGTGGGGGGGGGTGACATGGACCCTGGTTGGCCCCCAGTCGCCTGGGGGACGGGGTGTTTATTAATAGGGAACAGTGATTCACATGTGGCTCCCTAACCGTGAAGAATTTCGAGCGCGGCCTAACCGACCCCCAGCAAACCGTCCCCTTCCGTGGCGTCATTCCCGCCTCTCGAGCTCCCCTTTGGCCGCATGCATACGTCTTGGGGCGAGGCGATGGGGCACGTCATGGAGGGGGATGGTGTGCTAGGGGTCGGTCAAGCCGCCCCTCAGAATCACGACCAGGGCTCCGCACTCCATCCTTCTGCCCCATCTTTCCAGCTGGGGGCCCGAACCTGGGCGAAGCCACCAGGACCGACAATATTGAAACGCCGGGATCTGAGCCCAAATATGCGAAACCCTGATTGTTTCAGTACGCGGTCCCCGGAAATCCCGAGACTTTCCCCAGAACCGGTTTCTGACCTGAATCGTTTTGTTGACGGTTCCGGAGCCCGGCGAGGGCCCCCCGAGGCCGAAGACGGCCAAAAACGTCTCGTCGTGACTTTTGTTTACGACGCGATCGTGTCCTGGAAGGGAATCCCCCCCAACCCCCTCGCTGCCCCTGACTCCTGAGCAGACCGAACACGTCTCCGTCGACGGGGGGCCAGACGGTGAAGCGCTGCCACACCTGGGCGGGGTCTCTTCTGCGCCCGCTGCCCGCACGGTGTGCCCCACGGGATGCTGGCCAGGCCCCCTCGGCGCCGAGGGGCTTGTGCGCGGAAGAGCCGTGTCGTGATGACGTCGACGTTCGCAGATCTCCGACGATGTGACTACCGATCGGTCGGAAGAAGTAGGTAGAAACACGGAGTAGGGAGGCGGATAGTGGATTGGGTCCAGGCCCTCCCAGAGAATAACAAAACACAGCACAAGCATGCCGATTCTTGAAGTAGGAAGGCGCTTGAAGTAGATTGGGATCTGGGAATCCAGGAGTACCTACTTTCAACGACCAGCGTGTACTTCCTCTGGCGGGTTCTGTGGCAACTCATGTGAGCCTCGCATGCCACCTGCTGGCTCTTGCGGAACGACGCTAATCGAGGCTAAGTCGACCAAATCGACGCTAAATTGACGCTGCTCGACGCCAAATCGGCGATCTCTTATCGATGACCAGATGCCAATCGAGTCTAGTGGAATTTAAAGACGGAGTTGCGAGGGGATGCAAGGCCCCCATGATTTGCGACCGAAGGCGGGTGTTTCTTGGCTTCGGCCCTCAGGGGCTGCTTCTGCACCTGGGACAATCAAAAGTGGGCCCAGGGCGCAAAACTGCCCGTGGGGAAGCGGTCGGGCCCGCGGATGGAAGAAATCGTAGCGACGTGAGTCAGGTTCGCTTCTGACACCGCTTGGATCGGTCGACCGCGGTTTCCTGGTGACGCAAATCTTTCGACATCGGCCGATTCCGAGCAGCTTGTGGCGTTCAACCTTGAACGTCCGCGCTGGGGGCACTTATGCGTCGACACGGCCGAACCTGCGGTACGTGGCCCTCTATCGTTTGACACCGGCCAATTCTCGGCTACTTGCCACTTTCAGCGTTGAAAGCCCACGCTGGGGACGCTGCCGTGGCGACACGACACGAACCTTTGCACCGCACGTGCACTACTGGCCCAGGGGCAGCAGAGAACACGAACGCGCTCCCTGACCTCAGCATCTGCCTGGCCCAGAATTAGTAGGCGTATACGGCCCATGCAAGGAATGATCGAGACCAGCACCCTCTTGTCAGAAACATCTCAAAGGCAACATGGCCATAAGTGCTCCAGTGCATCCATCAGTTCAGAACTTTGCACGGGGGCACTCGTGGACGGTGTCCCCCAGGGCTGGAGGCGACCCGAGAATGAGGAGGAGGAGGAAAAGGTGGAGGAGGAGGAGGAGAGGATATGGAGGAGGAGGAGGAGGAGGAGGAGGAGGGAGGAGCAGGAGGAGGAGGAGTGGAGGAGGAGGATGAGGAGGAGGAGGAGGAGGAGGGCGGAGGAAGCGGAGGAGGAGGAGGGATGATGATGATGGCGATGATGATGTTGTTGATGATGATGATGATGATGATGATGATGATGATGATGATGAGGATGATGATGATGATGATGATGAGGATGATGATGATGATGATGATGATGATGATGATGATGATGATGATGATGAGGATGATGATGATAATGAGGAGGAGGAGGAGGAGGAGGAGGAGAAGGGAAGGAGGAGGAGGAGGTGGTGGAGGAGGAGGAGGAGGAGGAGGAGGGAGGAGGAGGAGGAGGAGGAGGAATAGGAGGAGGGAGGAGGAGGATGAGAAGGAGGAGTGGAGGAGAAGGAGGAGGAGGAGGGATGATGATAATGATGATGAGGAGGAGGAGGAGGAGAAGGAGGAGGAGGAAGAGGCGGAGGAGGAGGAGGAGGAGGAGGGAGGAGGAGAAGGAGGAGGAGGAGGAGCAGGTGGAGGAGAAGGAGGAGGAGGTGGAGGAGGAGGAGAAGGGAGGAGGACGAGGTGGAGGAGGACAAGTCGCCGAGGCCCCTCGGAGAAACCCTCCACTTTGCTGGGCACTTGCTGAAAGGTCAGTTTCTTCGTCCTGGCGACTGGCTGCGGTTGGCTCTCCCCGGGGTACCCCGCGGTCGGCCCACCTCGCGCTCGCGCACTCCTTCGGGCCGCCCAGGTCGATGTAGCGCCCGTGGTAAGTTCTGAGGAAGACCGCGTCGCCAAAGCGAACCGTTGGGTCCACCGGCCACGGATCTGTATACTCTTCGAGTGGGTCATCGCCAACGCCGTCCCAAGAAGGAAGGCTGCAACCTGGGGCTGGGTGTCCCAACGGGCTGCAACATGCTGCATGAGCTGCAAGTGGGCGAGAAGACGTGAGGAATGCGACCGAAGCTCCACTCATGGCAATCAACACCATGGGACCATGAAGATGTCTACACAAAGCCGATTCCGGAAACCCTGGAATCTGAACATTTCTACATCTCGTGATTACTTCCGCCACCTTTCGCCAACTTTCCGTTGGAAGACCGCCGCCGTTTCACCTCTGCCGAGGGCGGAATGAAAAGCGTCGGAGTATCGCGCCGCATTGCCCATGCATCGCCGATGCATCGGCGATGCATCGTCAATGCATCGGCCATACACCCGTGATGCCAGTGATGCATCGGCGACGTCGGCGTGGAGAAAATCGGGCTCAACATCGAGCCGCATCGCCGATGCATCGGCGATTCGGCGAGATCCTTAGACCCCATCTACTGCGACCCCATCTGGGAGGCCTAGAGGAATGAAGCCCAACGAGGCCATCTCCGCCGAGGGTGAGACAAGCCGACGGCGAGAACCACGCTCTACCCCTGCCGCCGTCGGTGCACTTCTGCCGAAGGCGACGTGAGCTCCAAACGAGGTTCCCTGGACATCCGCCTGTCTTGGGACGCGCAGAGACATACTAATACTGTATGTCCTCCTTGGAGGCGCGCGTCCGACCCGAACATATAGTATACCCATCTTGTAGTATATCGTCTCCCGAGCGGTGTGGCCAGAATAGGGGGCAAGCGAACCTACCTCACGTTTGACCACCCTCGCTTCCAAGAAATACCAAGCGATGCCAAACTACGGCCTGTACTGGTCAGGCCGCTTGACGAGGAGGCGCGTGGTATGACTTGGTTTGGCCTGGAAGCGAGAGCGGGGTAGGTAATTCACGCTCTGACAGAAAGACCCCAGCAACGACGCATATACTATCAGATTTCTTGGTGTGCGCGTCCCTCCTGGGGGTGGGGCGACGCACACATAGTGTTAGTATGCTGGGGTCATGCCGATGTCTGCATGTTTCAGTCCGTGGCCCCAGGGGCAACTGCTCGCCTCGCCCGGGGATCCATTCTGCATGCAACGAAGGCTCGCTCGACGGGCCCCGAGGGCCGGCGTCGAGAAAAGGCCACCCGGTTGAAGATTCGCCTCGGCCGTGGTCGGGCATCTCCTTCTGCCCCCGCCTGCCACTGTTAGGTCGGGCCTGTCCCCCTACAGGGGGATTTTGGATGAACATGTTTTAAAATTATCCCAGTGCGACCCTACCTAGGAGTTGGAGCCCTTAGGAAAGCAGCATTAGTAGTAACAGTAAAGCTAAGCTGAAGCTAAGCTAAAGCTAAGCTAAAGCTAAGCGAAAGCTAAGCTGAAGCTAAGCTAAAGCTAAGCTGAAGCTAAGCTAAATCTAAGCTAAAGCTAAGCTAAGGCTAAGCTAACACTAAGCTAAAGCTAAGCTAAAGCTAAGCTGAAGCTAAGCTAAATCTGAGCTAAACCTAAGCTACAGCTAAGCTAAAGCTAAGCTAGAGCTAAGCTAAAGTTAAAACTAACTATAGGCTAAAGCTAAGCTAACGCTAAGCTAAAGCTAAGCTAAAGCTAAGCTAAAGCTAAGCTGAAGCTAAGCGAAAGCTAAGCTAAAGCTAAGCTAAGGCTAAGCTAAAGCTAAGCTAAAGCTAAGCTAAAGCTAAGCTGAAGCTAAGCTACAGCTAAGCTAAAGCTAAGCTAACGCTAAGCTAAAGCTAAGCTAAATATGAGCTAAAGCTAAGCTAAAGCTAAGCTAAAGATAAACTGAAGCTAAGCTAAAGCTAAGCTAAACCTAAACTAAAGCTAAGCTAAAGCTAAGCTAAAGCTAAGCTAACACTAAGCTAACGCTAAGCTAAAGCTAAGCTGAAACTAAGCTAAAGCTAAGCTAAAGCTAAGCTAAAGCTAAGCTAACAATAAGCTGAAGCTAAGCTAAAGCTAAGATAAAGCTAAGCTAAAGCTGAGCGAAAGCTAAGCTAAAGCTAAGCTCAAGCTAAGCGAAGGCTAAGCTAACACTAAGCTAAAGCTAAGCTAAAGCTAAGCTGAAGCTAAGCTAAATCTAAGCTAACGCTAAGCTAAAGCTAAGCTAACACTAAGCTGAAACTAAGCTAAAGCTGAGCTAACACTAAGCTAAAACTCAGCTAAAGCTAAGCTAAAGCTAAAGCTAAAGCTAAGCTAAAGCTAAGCTAAAGCTAAGCTAAAGCTAAGCTAAAGCTAAAGCTAAGGCTAAAGCTCCCAGGGGACTGGGGGAACCGCGTGGCGGGGACTGGGGGAACCGCCCGGGGCGGTTAGCAGTGCCCGGCCCTTTAAGCAAAGAGAGTAAGAACCCTTCTAGGCAGAGCCTAGGTAGGGAACACACACACACACATTTTGGCAAAAATACACCCAACCTGCTCAATCATAGTCAAAAAATGGTCCGCTGTCTACTTTTCTACTGTTTCTGAATATCCCTCCTGTTAGGAGGCAACTACAGTGAGGTTTTCGTTGGAAGGGTTAAGGAATATTCAGACCCATTGGGGGGCTGTTAAGCCAGGAGGATTAAGGCCCATTGGGGATTTTGGGCGAAAAATGAAGAAGCAACAAAAAAACTAAAGAAGTGCACACCCCAAAATGCTCAAGCATAGTCAAAACATGGTCCCCGGACAATTTATGGACTACTTTTGAAAACTCCTCCTGTAGAGGGACAGGCCCGACTGAATGCCTCTCGGGCGTCCTGGGAGACCGGAAATCATGTTCCCGGAGAGGCTTCCGGGAGCATGATCTCGAAGGAGGCTCTCTTGGGCCTCCCCGAAGCCGTTTTGGGGGCCTCCCGGGCCGGCTTCGGGGCCTCTTAAGGGCCGTCTTGGGGGGCTCCGTGAGCCCCACAGGCCGACCCTTTTGGGCCGTCTTGGGCCATCTCGGGCCACTGCCCGAGGGCGGCGCGGGCCGAAAGGGCGGCGGCCTTGCGGTGGCGAGCGCCGGCCTGCCGGCTGCCGCCACGGCCCTGCCCCCGCTGCAGGGCGGGGCGGGCCCAGGGCAGAGGGCAGAGCCGGTGCGGTGCGTTCAGTCCCCCTCCTACTCCTCCTGCTCCTCCTCCTCCTCGCTCCTCCTCCTCCTCCTCCTCCTCTCCTCCTCCTCCTCTCCTCCCCTCCTCCTCCTCCTTCCTCCTCCTACCTCCTCCTCCTCCCTCCTCACCTCCCCCCCTCCTCCTCCTCCTCCCCCTCCTCCGCCTCCTCCTCCTCCTCCTCCGGTGCGGTGCATTCAGCCTTCATGTCATGTTGCTCCAATCGAACTTGAGGGCCACATCCCAGAAATGATTTCGAGGACCCAAAAGAATATCGAAACAACGTCGAACGAATACCGCCTCCCAGGATCCGGCACGCGAAAGCCCTCCAATTTCTGTACTTTCTTGGTGCTCGGAATTCTTGGTGAGCGAGGCTACACTAGGTTGGACCAGCATCATCTTCACTGTCGTTCGGGGGAAGAGCCTGTTGTTCTTTAGATTCGGGCGAATTAATTCTTGCATGGACGGGGGGGGTGGGGGCAGAGCCTGAAGCAAGCCGAAAACAACTCGACGTGCAGAACTCACGCAAGTCGAGAGGCACTTGCACGCTCGCATTCGATCGAAAGAGGGGCGAGGGGGAAGCAGAGGGGGGGGGGAGAGGGGCCGCACGCGATGCTGGGAAACTTGCCTGGGCCTCAACAGAAGCAGGCTGGAAGCAGACTCGGGAGCGGCCAAGAGGGGGGTGTCCAAGAGGGGGGGGTGCAATTCATGAGCAGCGGCATGTGCGCGGCCCAGCGGGGGGGCCAGGGACGTAATAGAAGAAGAAGAGGCGCCACAAAATCTGGGGAGATATCATGGCCCACGCCATGATATCCACCCCCCCTAGTCATCACCCCCCTCTTTTCCGCCCCCGACAGACGTGAAGCGCAGCGGTCGGCCTTGGAGAGGCGGGGTCATTCGTGGCGGGGAGGCGCCGGCGTGCCTGGGCCTGCCCCCGCCGGGCGACGGGGCGGCGCGCGGCAGCAGGCGCGGGGCGCACCGCAGTCGTCCCTGTCGTGTGGGGCTGTGCTCCGCGTGTTGCGTCGGGCGTGTCCCCCTACAGGGGGATCTTTCGACGAGCAATAAGAAAATACGCAACAGATGCTCCAAAACGGTAAAAAAATGCCCCAAAAAAATAATCCCCCGACTATTGTTGGACTATTTCTGCAGTTTCCCCCTGTAGAGGGACAGGCCCGACTTAATCCTCGTGGGTGGGTCTTCGCGGGGGGGTTTCGCACCTTCAGCAAGGAGTGGACGCCCGCGACCCGCTGGGTGCGAGTGAAGCGCGAGATAGTCCGTCGTTGCGGCCGCTCGGGCCGAGCATCGGTGGAGCGAGCCCCCTGCCCACGGGCGTGGCCGCGGCCCTGCTGGCCGCCCTGCTGGCCGAGGCGGGCAGGGCACAAGTCGCCCATGCCTGCGGAGACCGCGGGGCCGATCCCCCTCCACCTGAGGAGAGTGGGCTGCCTCCTCCTCCTCCCTCCTCCCTCCTCCCTCCTCCCTTCTCCTCCTCCTCCTCGACCGGAAAGAGCATCGAATCAGGCAGCATCGGCAAGGGGTCCGAATCGAAGCGAGCCGGCCGCGCCAGGAGGCACCACGGCGCAAAGGCAGCGGGCCGCATCGGAGGTTGCCCGGGCATCGGAGGCGACGCGGATGCCGAGCCGGGTGAGCTCGACACCGAAGCGGATCGATCGGATCAGCACGGGCCCTGGCGAAGGTCGACGGGGGAGAACCAGCTCAGAGGGGGCGTGGGGGGAGAGCCTTGAGCTGGAATCGGCGATGCGTCGCCGGCGGAACGGCGAGAGGCCCCCGCGATGCCGAAACTGGACGAGCCTGAGCGAAGTGGGGGCCCCAGGTCCCCAGGTCCCTGTGGGCGACGGATGTGCGATTCGGGGACGATGCTCCTGAAGGGGCCCAGGGACACGCAGTAGACACAACTCCCAGGACTCCCAATCATTTCAGATATGGTCCAGGGCTTGGGCCCCCCCCCCTCCCCCCCAATGCTGATGCCATTGGGCCCCCCCCCCCCCCGCGCGATGGTCCCCCCCGCCCCCCCCTGTGGGCGTGGCGTGGTGCTGCGCTGCGGTGCCCCCCCCCCCCCCCTGTGGATGTGGTGTGGTGCTGTGGTGGTTCAGAGGTGGGCGTGGCGTGGTGCTGCGCTGCGGTGCCCCCCTCCCCCCCCCCTGTGGATGTGGTGTGGTGCTGTGGTGGTTCAGAGGTCGTCGTCGTCGTCGTCGTCGTCGTCGTCGTCGTCGTCGTCGTCGTCGTCGTCGTCGTCCTCGTCGTCCTCGTCCTCGTCGTCGTCGTCGTCGTCGTCCTCATCGTCGTCGTCGCCGTCGTCATCGTCGTCATCGTCGCCGCCGCCGCCAGCGTCGTCGCCGCCGCAGCGGTCGTCGTCGTCGTGGTCGTCGTCGTCGTCGTCGTCGCCGTCGTCGTAGTCGCCGTCGTCGTCGTCGTCGTCGTCGTCGTCGTCGTCGTCGTCGTCGTCGTCGTCGTCGTCGTCGTCGTCGTCGTCGTCGTCGTCGTCTCTGGGACCATACCATCTGGGGGGGGTGGCCCGAGGAATCCTGGGACCATACCATCTGGGGGGGGAGGGGGGGGGGGCCCGTGGGCCCGGAGCCCGGATCATATATTTTCGGGGTCCCCCCCACTGCCCATATTTTCACATATTGCCTTGGGAATCGACGATCTGTAGTGTCCGTGTTTTTGTTCCCCTCCGGTGCTCCCTCCCTCCGAAAATGACAGCTCTGCATGAGCACAAACTTTCGGAGGTCCGCGCGGACCTCTTCGATCGGCGCTGAGCCCCCTCTCTGGGCGGCGCATTCGGCGCCGCCAGTGCCTACGGACTAGTTCTTCTTGGAGCAGCGCCCTTCGTGCCGCTCGTTCGTGCCATGCCCTTATTGCTCGTGTGCCTGCTGGACACACGGCGTCTTCTCCTTCTGGAACAGCGGGACGAGGAGGGCACGGCAAGCCCGTGTCGTGAACACTTGCGCGCTGGTTCCGACAGCGCGTGGATCGCACATCGCTCGCTTGCGATGCGTTCCTGACCAATGGCGGTGTTCGACCTTGAACTCCCGCGCTGAGGTCGCCGCCGAATCGATGCGGCACATACCTGCCCTGCAATCGCAGTTTTTTGGTATCCGTTCCATGGGAGCCTGCGTGGCCCCTGGCACTGTCCAATTTGGGCCTGATTCGGACCGGATTTAGAACACATTTGGACCGGATTTGGCCCAGACTTGGACTGGATTCGTGGGGGCTACGTAGGAGAACGAGGAGGGGGAGGGGGAAGAGGAGGGGAGAGGAGGAGCAGGAGGATGGGCCAAATGCGGTCCCCACGCTGTCCACATGCAGGAAAAGCTGATTTCAATGTCGCCGCCCAAGGCTCCCATGAACAGACATCGAACAGTTTGGCCGTCAGGAGGGGCAAGAGGCGGAGCCAACATTGGGCCACAGATACGCGCAGACGCACGAGAAGCGCTGGAAGGAAGCCTCGACCTTACCCAGCGTTCTGACTGCAGTGTTGGGTTGGGCATGTCCCCCTACAGGCGAATTTTGGAAGGAAACATAACATGTTCAAACTAAGCTCAAACACTATCAACAAAAGGTCGTAAGCTCGTCCCCATACTATTTGCTGACTATTATTGGCCGTGCCCGACTGGACTGTAGTGGCAGAGTCTTGCCCAAGAGAAGCAACCTCCTTGCAGCTCTGCGGCCAGATCCTGAAGCCGAGCGCGAGGCCCGCCCTGCAACTTCTGAAGGGAGCTGGGCACGAAGGGAGCTGGACACGAGGCCCTCCGTGCAGCCAACTGCGGTAGTTTCTGAACGGAGCTGGACACCCAGCCCTCCTTGAAGCTCTGCTGCCAGTTCCACTCGGCGCCATGGGCGTCGCACCAGTTCCAGAAGAACCTCGGGAGCCAGACCAGCGCACCGCTCCAGAGACGGCCCAAACATCGAATGAGAACACCGCCCAGGATCGATCGGCAACAAACATGGCTTGCGCTTTGATGCACCTAAATGTATCGTTCAAGATGCCGAAGGGCAAGCGAGAACGACACAACCTTGTTCGGCACGGGGTCCGCTGTCTGTGAAAACGCACACGGTTGCCATTGATCGCGTGCTCACATCTTACGACCATAAAAGAGCAGACCCCTTCTAAGTAGTCGGGCGCCCGCCTTATTCAGGATAGACCTGGTCTGGTGTAAGTCCCTCTGGGTCCCCAGATATCATCCAGGGAAACCTGGGAACAAACTGTTCTGGGATAACTCCTGTTTCCGGAAGATGCTGGACAATCTCAACGCACATGGGGCATAATCTAATCAGAGAAAGCTCGGGCCGCGAGCACACCAAAAGGAACGCTGGCGCAAACACGGACCGCCCCCTGCCGTGACAGATGGGGGCTCCGACAGCCCTCGCCGTGACAGCTCGGGGAGATGACGGGGCAACGAAAGTGAAGGGGCCCTGGGACACACAATTTCGCCCGCCCAACGGGCCAGAGGCGTGCTGAGATCTCCGGTAACTGGTAAACCGTATTTCTGGTTCGCCCGCGCGGGGCGGCCCCTGGGGGTCCCTGGATCAAAAGTACCCCGAGAGGAGCCTGGGACACGCCCGAGACACGCCCGGGACACTCCCCCAGATCCTCCAGGATCGGCCCAAGAGGGCCCCAAGGGGCCCCCAACACAATCCAAGAGAGGTCCGAGACGCCCGAAGATCGCTCCACGACGCCCAAGATGGCCTCCAGACGGCCCAAGAGGTCTCCAAGATGACCCAACAAGCTTCCAAGATGCCCCAAGAGGCCTACAGGAGCACTCCCAAGAGGGCCCAAAGAGGCAAAAATCAATGTTGGTTTCCTTAGGTTTTGGATAGATTTGGGCGTTTCAACCTTTTCGGTTCCCCGACGCCCCTAAACGGCTCAAGAGGCCTCCAAGATCGCGCCAAGAGGGCCCAAGAGGCCCTCAAAAGGGCCCCAAGACGGCCCCAAGACGGCCCCAGAGGCCTCCAAGACGACCCAAGAGGGCCCCAAGAACGCCCCCGACACGGTCCAAGAGAGGTCCGAGAAGCCCGAAGATCGCTCCACGACGCCCAAGATGGCCTCCGAACGGCCCAAGACGTCTCCAAGATGGCCCAAGAAGCCTTCAAGATGCCCCAAGAGGCCTCCAAGAGAACTCCCAAGAGGGCCCCAAGAGGCACAAAACTGTGCTTTCCCTTTGGTTTTGGACAGATTTGGGCGTTTTAACCTTTTCGGTTCCCCGACGCCCCTAAACGGCTCAAGAGGCCTCCAAGATCGCCCCAAGAGGGCCCAAGAGGCCCCCAAGAGGGCCCAAGACGGCTCCAAGACGGCCCCAGAGGCCTCCAGGACGGCCCAAGAGGGCCCCAAGAACGCCCCCAACGGTCCAAGAGAGGTCCGAGACGCCCGAATATCGCTCCACGACGCCCAAGATGGCCTCCAGATGGCCCAAGACGTCTCCAAGATGACCCAAGAAGCCTCCAAGATCCCCAGGAGGTCTCCAAGTGCATTCCCAAGAGGGCCCCAAGAGGCAAACAAATAATGCTTTTCCATAGGCTTTGGATAGATTTGGGAGTTTCAACCTTTTCGGTTCCCCGACGCCCCTAAACGGCTCAAGAGGCCTCCAAGATCGCCCCAAGAGGGCCCAAGAGGCCCCCAAGAGGGCTCCAAGATGGCCCAAGACGGCTCCAAGACGGCCCAAGAGGCCTTCAAGACGGCCCAAGAGGGCCCCAAGAACGCTTCAAGAACGCCCCAAGAGGGGGTTCACGAAACAGAAGTTCGAGCTCTCGGCCCTTAGAGGCCCCCGGGAGGCCCCAAGACGCCCCCAAAGGCCCCAAGAGGCCCCCAAGAGGCCCTCAAGAGGCCTCAAGAGGCCTCCAAAAGGCCCTCTGGAGGCCTCCAAAAAACCCGCAGGAGGCCACCAGGACGCCTCCAAGACTCCAGCCAGACGCGACTTGGGAAACGCGAGTCGGGGTGGTCCTCCTCCCCCGCGTTCGGCTCCCGACGCCGCAGCTCCACACTGCGAACGACCACTCGGACAGGCGACCACGCGACATTATGGGCCGGCGGAATGAGCGAAGCGATTCAATAAATACACACAAATAAAAGGATTCCCCATACTTTCCAATATTTTCTGTGTTTTTGTCTTCCCCCCCACTGCCCATATTTTTCCATATTTCCCTGGGGGTCGACGATGAATTGTGTCTGTGTGTTTTTTCCCCTCCTGAGAAAGAGGGGACTGGCACAGGGGGGGAGCATCGACCTGGAATCGGCGATGCATCGCCGATAGATCGGCGACAGGCCTCCGATAGCATACCCGCACAATCCAGGGCAGGTCAGCGTTGTCAAAACGCTATCGACGTTAAATGGGCGATTGGGGGTCGATGCATCCCCCCTGACCGCATCCGCCTCTATCGAGTCTGGGGGGAAGTGAATAGTGGCGGGCCCTCCAAGAAGGCTCGGGAGTCCTCTGGCCTTCTGAAAAGTGGTCGAATCCTTTCCCGAGGACACAGAAAACCTGCTGGATGGCTTCCGAGAAGCCCCGCCGCCTTCTGAGTGTACCCCCCCCTATCGTTGCTCATGGGCAGCTCTCAGCTTGGTAACCAGGGCCAGGGTGCTGCCCTGGGCGCCCCCGCCACCCGCAGGAACCAGCCGTGCGACGCAGACTCGTAGGCCTCGAGCTGGGCCGCGCCGAACCTGCTGCGCAGCTGGTCCTCCCGGAGGAGTAACCTTCGAACCTCCCACTCGCGGCGGGCAAGAGCCTGGGGGCTTCTAAGAACGGCCCTTGGTCGGCTACACACTAGAGTGACCGTGGGCAAGAGTGGCCTTTAGTGCGCAACCAAGGGGGGGCCCTTTGGGGACAACGCCAGGCGCTCAAGCCGCTGCTATCGCATCGCATTCAGCGAGACGGGGTCCCATTGGGCCCGCAGCAAAGGTCGCTCTTACGTCAATCGATTAAAAGCCGGGCGGGCTCCGAAGGAAGCCCCACCCCGTGCCTTAAAGCAGGGAGCTCCTAAGAATTCTTAGAAGCCCCCCAGCCTCCTTAGACGGCCCAACTCATTACGCCACCCCTTCGTGGGTGCAGCCGACACTGCGTCCCAAACTCCAAGCACATATTTGCCCCCCCGCACGGCGGGATGTGGCTGCTAAACGTGAGCCCCGGACTGGCACATGAATCAGCAAAAACTCAAGGGTCGGAACATGCTCTTCAGCTTGGAAATGGCGCGGGAACGACTGCGAATCTCCGCACCAGCAACGAGACGCACTGTCGGAAATTGGCGGGTCACTTCCGATTGGCTTGCCGCATTGACGCCGCCCCTGGCGCGCTCCGCGCCAGGGAGGGGGGTCGGCATCCGATCCAAGATCTCCGCACGGACCCCCGACAGTTCGCGTTGATGTATCTATTAGCGGAGGATAAACACAAACTGCATTCAGCGCGGGCCCTCCGACAATGAGTTTTGTACCATTGCAAGCCGCGCTGCGCACGGATCTGCAGAATTCCACGCGGCGTCAAACTCGATGATGCTGCTCCCACCCACTCCACTTGTAGTCGAATCGATGGTGCGAGGCGAAGTCCGCCTGATTGAATTGGGTCTCGACCAGGAGGCGGAGGGGTGGCACAGACACTCTTGATGCAGAGTGAACTCGTCGAGCAACTTGCTTGGGTGAACAATGTAACGGTGCGGTTGAAGATGACTGCAACGATGCCCAAGACATGTTCCCCCAGGCTTTCTGCGGGCCTTTCAGACCTTGTCGCGCTGAACTTGCTGGCCCAACGGGTTAGAGGCGTGCTGAGATCTCCGGTACCAGGTTCGCAGTACACGTCGGTCGGAAGTAGGTAAAACCATGAAGTAGGAAGGCGGATAAAGCGGATTGGGTCCAGGCCCTCCGAGAGATTGTCCCAGTGCGACCCTACCTAGGAGTTGGAGGATCTAGGAAAGCAACATCTATATGAAGCTAAGCTAAGCTAAGCTAAGATGAAGCTAAGCTAATATGAAATAAGCTAAGCTAAGATGAGATAAGCAACGCGAAGCTACGGGAGCGTCACTGGGGGAACCGCGGAGCGGATGCCGGGGGAACCGCCTGGGGCGTTTTCCACTGCCCAGCCCTTTAAGCATACCGAGTAAGAACCCTTCTAGGCAGAGCCTAGGTAGGGAATCAAACACTGGTTTCCCGGGCACGTCCATGACCAGAGGGGCTGAAGAAGGTGGTGCATAAACATGATCATGCATGTACGTGTGTGCATACTTACGTACGCATGTATGTATCCATGTATGTATGCATGTACAGATGTATAGATGCATAGGTGTATAGGTGTATATGTATGTATGCATGTATGTATGAGCGTGTGTATGTTATCAGCTCGTTTGCCTCGGCGTCCACGCGTCAATCCATGCACCGGCTAGACCGCAGCTGCACAGAAGAAATGGTTACGAAATGGTTATGGAAGGCACTGCTTGCGGGGGCTCTGGTCCGGCCATCGAGGCCAGCTCGGCATCTGTCGCACATTGCTTTTGCTTTGCCTTGCCTTTGCTTTGCTTTGCTTTTGCTTTTGCTTTTGCTTTGCTTTGCTTTGCGTTGCTTGTGCTTTGCTTTGCTGTCGCTGCTGTTGCTTTGCCTTTGCTTTGCTGCTGTGCTATGCTATGCTCTGCCGTGCTGCGCGGTGCTATGCTGTGCTGTGATGTGCTGCGCTATGCTATGCTATGCTATGCTGTGCTGTGCTGTGCTATGCTATGCTGCGCTATGCTGTGCTATGCTGGGCTTTGCTATGATATGCTGTGCTGCGCTCTGCTATGCTATGCTGAGCTCTGCTATGCTAAAGCTCAGCGAAACTAAGATGAAGGTAAGCTAGGTTAAGATAAAACTGAGGTAAGATGAAGCTAAGGTGAGATGAAATAAGCTAAGCTAAGATGAGATAAGCAACGCTAAGCTAAGGGAACGTCACTGGGGGAACCCCGGGGCGGATGCCGGGGGAACCGCCCGGGGCGAGCCCCACTGCCCGGCCCTTTAAGCTTAGCTATGCTATGCTAAGCTGCGCTATGCTATGCTATGCTATGTTATGCGATGCTATGCTATGCTATGCTGCGCTATGCTATGCTATGCTTGGCTATTTTATGATATGCCATGCTATGCTAATGCAGCGCTGCGCTATGCTAAGCTCAGCTAAGCTAAGATAACCCTCTAGGCAGAGCCTATGTAGGGAAGTACACCCATGCTAATGCTATGCTGTGCTGGGCTATGCTATGATATGGGGGAACCGCGGAGCAAATACTGGGGGAACCGCCCGGGGCGAGTTGCACTGCCCGGCCCTTTAAGCATACCGAGTAAGAACCCTTCTAGGCAGAGCCTAGGTAGGGAAATAACAAAACACCATGAAATAATGTCGATTCTTGAAGTAGGAAAGCGCTTGAAATAGATTGGGATCTGGGAGTCCAAGAATACCCACTTTCAACGACCGGCGTGTATTCCTAGTTCGCGCGCGCGTGGCGGCCCCTGGGGACCTCCGGACGAAAAGCACCCCAGCCGATGCCTGGCCGATGCACGGCGGGGTCCCCCAGAGCGCTCCAGGAGCGCGCCAGAGGGCGCCGGGACGCTCCCCACACGGCCCAAGAGGCCTCGAGTCGCCGAAAGATCGCTCCCAGACGCCCAAGATACGATGGCCTCCATACGGCCTTGAGGCCGCCAAAAAACCCAGGAGAGCCTCAAGATGCTCTCCAAGAGGGCCCCGGCCCCAACAAGCAGAAATCGTTCCATTCCCTTCGAAAAAACACGTTTTCGCATCTACGACGTTTGGAGGTCCACCGCGCCCACAACTGCCCGAGAGGCCCCCAAGAACGCCCCCAGACTGCCCAACAGGCCCCCAAGATGGGCCAAAGAGAGCCCAAGAGGGCCCCAAGACGGCCCAAGAGGACACCAAGACGACCCAAGATGCGCCCTAGATGGCTCAAGACGGCCCAAAGAGGGGCCCAAGAGGACTCGAAATGACATTTCAATATTTCCGCCCCACGGGCCACCTCCGAGTCCGAGACCGCCAGCAGGCACTCAAGTCAAGTAGCCCCCAAGAGGCCCCAGGAAGCCCCCAAGAGACTTCAAAGGAGGCCCCCAAGAAGCCCCCAAGAGGCCCCAAGAAGCCCCCAAAAGATTCAAAACGCAGCCCCCAGGACCAACAAACGGCCCCCAAGAGGCATCTAAAGGCTTTCACGCGCCACCTCCAGAAAATGCCAGCCGCCCAGCGGCACAGCATTGACAACAACACCCAGACAAACCACAACGGCGAGACAAGATGGGCCAGCGGAATGAGCGAAGCGATTGAAGAACCTGCCCATCCTAAGATTTGTGCTGGCCGCACGAAGTCAACTGCTGGGATTCGCTGGAATGCTGGACGCACTCGTAAGGAATCCCTACGGCAAAAACGATACTTGCCATTGGCCTGCGCATCATGCCGTGCTCGTGGTTGCAAACCGCCTGAGAGTTCACCGCGACGCGGCCGTGCACGAAGAGAGGGGAGGAGAGAGAAATGAGAAGTTGAAACGCCCAGCGACGTGAAGGGATGGAAGGGCGAAAGGCAAAGGGAAAGATCGACCAGCATCAAAATCTGGAAGACGTTGGCTCGACCCTGAATGTGCGCCGGACTCGAGCGCAGATCGGATCTGCCGCGCCAGGAGGATGCACGGCAGCGCCGTGCAAGCACCTGCCCGTGTCGGATCGTCTGCGCATTGGAATCTCGGACGGCCGCTCAGCTAGAGAAACGCGTTCGACTGCTCGCGAAACAGATACCCGCAAATGGCCTGGATCCGATGCGTCGAGGCAAACAAGCTCCACTGTATCGAGGCAAGTAGTCTCCATTACACCAGGAGAAAAACGCCATACCATAAACATGTAACGCTCTGTTCGGATTTCTTGGATCTGCTTTCGACTCTCCTCCCAGGCGCGCGGAGCGCGCCAGGGGCGGATCCGGAGGCGCCACCAGGGGGACCAAGCGCAAATTCAAGAAATCCGCGCGGAGCGCCACAAGTTTCTGTTTGTGCCATTTTCTCTTCTTCCACGGACGTTTGCGAGTACGTAGGCACTTCGCGAATGGTGGAACGCGCTCGGTGATCGCCTCACGCAGCCGATGCTCCTGGCCATCGCTCGGACGTCCATTCCCTGTGATTTTTTCGGTTTCGCGCGTGGCTTTTTCCCCAAATGATCAAGGATGCTCCTCGGTTGTCCTCGCCGAAGGGAAAATGCACGTCCGAGCGATGCCAAGCGCATGTACACTGAGGCATCTGGGTCCGGTCGCATGGGGCTTCGCAGAAACGCCATGCGACAGGGCCCAGACAGGACCAACGAGCCGAGGAGTGGGCGACATGGGGTCGAAGCGTCGCCCCCTGAGCCCATCCCTCCCCCCCCCTCAGCGCTGCCCCTGGCCGCGCGGGGAGGGCGCGCGCGGCCAGGAGCTCCGTGCAGCCGTCGCAGTCCTCGCCGACGGAAAAAGTGCACACGTCCGAGCGATGCCGAGGCTCCCGGCGCCCACCGACGCCAGAGGCGCCCACAGGGCACCGAGGAGGGGGCCCAGCGACGGAGCCGGAGCCAGCTGCACGCAGACCTCGCGGCCCCTCTGCCCTCTGCCCCAGAGCCATAGTACCTGAAGTCCTCTTCCCCCTCCTCCTCCCTCCACCTTCTCCTCCTCCTCCTCCTCCTCCTCCTCCTCCTCCTCCTCCTCCTCCTCCTTATCCCCCTTCCCTCGTCTGTCCCACACGAGAGCAGAATCACCCAGGGGAGGAGGGCGGGGGCGGTGAGGGCGAAGGGCGAGGGGCGGACGCCTGCCCGACAAGGGAGCAAGACAGTCGAGGGAGATAGGGAAAGAGCTGGGAGGCAGAGCATCCGACGTCGTGTTTTTGTTGCTGGCGCGGCCCCACCGAGGTCTAGACACTGCTTCTGCGGACCAGTTCTTCAACCTGAACCGTTTCTGCTGGGCGGTCCTGGGGCCCAGCGAGGGCCCCCAGAGGCCGAAAGCATGGAACAACACTCCTGCAAGGTTCATTCTTCCTTTCTCACAACGCGAGGGTATCAGGAATGGCGAAGGGAGGGCGAGGTGGGGCGGGGAGGGCGACTGGATGCGAAGTGCGAGAGGGGAGCCCTGTCCGACCTGAGAGTAGGAGGGCACGAGGAGGAGGAGGAGGGGGACGAAGGAGGAGGACGAAGCAGGCGGAGGACAGACGCTGCAATCCAGGCAGATTGAAGTCCGCTCAACGCCAACAGGAGGATGAGGAGGATGAGGAGGGCGGCCCCCCTCCCCCGCGAGAGCCGATCGGTTGAAGCGATGAGATCGTCGGAGATCTAGGGACTCGAGGGGGAGGAGGAGGACATGGAGGGTCGAGGAGGGTCGAAGACCGAGGAGAGTCGAGAAGGAGCTGGAGGGACGAGGAGGATCGAGGATCGAGGAGGACCGAAGCGGATCTGGAAGGTCGATGAGGATCGAAGAGATCGAGGATTATTGAGGCGGAGTTGGAGGGTCGAGGAGGATCGAGGAGCATCGAGGAGCATCGACGATCGTAGAAGAAGAAAGACGCCGTAAACGTAAACTGCTGGCGCTCCGCGCGGACTTCTTGGACCCGCGCCGGGCCCCCCATCCCGGGCGCGGCGGCTCTGGGCCGATGAGGATCGAGGATCGGTGAGGATCGAGGCGGACCTGGAGGCCCGAGGAGCATCGAGGAGGGTCGAGGAGGCTCTAGGCGGAGTTTGGAGGGTCGAGGAGCGTCGAGGGGCATCGGAGAGGTCGAGGACGGCGCTGGGCGAGCGGCGCGCGATGGGCCCCTGGCCGCCTCTCCTTGGGCAGGCGCCCCCGCTCGGCCGCCAGCCCCAGCGCCAGGCTCCACTCCCCCACGACGGCGGGGAGGCCGCGCAGCTCCTGCGGGAGAGGGGCGCCGTGGGGCGCACGAGGGGCCAGTCCAGGAGGAGGAGAGGGAGGAGGAGGAGGAGCAGGAGGAGGCGGAGGGAGGAGGAGGGAGCATAAAGAGGAGGAGGAGGAGGAGGAGGAGGAGGAGGAGAAGGAGGGAGGAGGAGGAGGGAGCAGGAGGAGGAGGAGGAGGAGGAGGATGAAGAGGAGGAGGCGGAGGAGGAGGCGGAGGGAGGATGAGGATGAGGATGCCGCACCGCATTGGCGAACGCCGCGCAGGTCTCCCGCGCCAGGCCAGCACAGCAAAGGGGGGTGCTCTGGAGGCCGACCCCCTCAGGCGCCAGAGAGGCCGCCAGCCCTCACCGAAGGGGTCACGGGGCAGGCGCTGGTCCAGACATGATGTGTATGGGGGCGGGGGGCACGGGAAGGAGTGAAACGCCGCGGGGAGCACACCTGGTCGGGTGCGCCGCTCTCGCGGCGCTGGTCCTCATCGCCCTCCTGGTGGACAAAACTGTGGCTCTGCAAGAGCCTGACCCAGTGGGCTCCTGGGTCCCCGACATCAAGGGGGCGAGGGGCAGGGACTCGACTGGAATCCATTTTGCCCTCGTCCACGGGAAACTGGCGAGGCTCTCTCGGACAGGCGATGGCTAGCCACCAGCGCGGGGCAATCAACAAGTAGGCGCCCCGTGGTGCCCGTGGAAAGGAAACCGCAGGAGACGCACAAACAAACGTGGCCCGAAGCGACCCAGAGCTCGTGGCCCCTAGCCGCAGCGGCGGGGACAGGACCCGTTTGCGGGAGGGCATAAGCAGGGACGGCCGTAGCCGCCAGAGCAGGACGAGCCCTTTGCTGGCCGCAAACCTTACGTCTCCTGTTAGGCTGAAAAGCGGGCCCAGACCTATCGAGGATGTGGAGGTCAACTATAGCCTGATCCCTATTCCTCGAAGCAACATCCCTGATCGACGCAATCGGCTCGAAGCCGACCCGATGGAAGCTCCGACCTCTCCTCGCGTGCCTTGCGGACCTGCTTGGGGATGGCCGCATCCCGCTCCGCCTCGGTGGCCACGCGGGTGATGAGGTCCGGGCAGACCATGGCCACTCCCGAGTCCTTCGTCATGCCCGAGAAGATGGCCGCCTCATCAAACACAGCGTGCTGAGAGGAGGAGGCGGAGTTTTTGCCCTTGCCCTTGCCCGCCGTGCGAGCCATGCGGTATACGTACTCCACCAGCTGGGCATGTTTCCCGTGAGGAGCTCCAGTGTAGCGCTGTTACCGACGTCCACCATGTCATAGCCCCCCACGCTCTCGTCGAAGCAGCGCATCATCGTGTTATGGATCTTCACTCCCCAATCGTCGGCAGTGTTCCTGCGGGCTGCCCGGTCTCCGAAAGAGCCACCCAGCGCACCAGCGAACGGTCCTCGGCCCTGGCACGGGCCAGTCTGGGAAAGGCGACTCCCGCAGCTGCACGATCACCGGCGCGAAGCGGCCACGCCGGCGGCGCTGTCCAGCAATGACCGTGGCCTTGCTGATCCTGAGGTTGTGGTGACCCTCCCTGATCATGTACTCGTCCACGGAGTTGCCCTGCAGGACCCGAACCAGCACCGTGAGGCCCGTAGGGGTCGTGATGATGCCAACGCTGCCCTTCACGATGTCGGTAGCCGTCATCATCACCGCCGAGCATCGAGTGGCGAAGGTGGTGGACTCCACCGTCACCCGATTGGCGGCGGCGGCGCCAGGAGCGGGCGCTGCAAGGGCAGCGTCGCCTCCCGCGGCAGCCGCAGGCAGCCCGCCAGCGGCCATCGGCACCGCAGCAGGCACGAAACCCATGAAGGTGGCCAGCTCCACTGCACTGGGCTCGCGACGGAAGCGTTAGGTCTGTGCCCGCTCGATGTCCGGCGGATGATCCTCCGATCAGACGCAAAATGCAACGCCTGGTAGTCGGCACTGCTGCCATCCAGAATTTCGAAGTTTACGTCCGCATCGGGGGTCGCACGACGCCATGGCGCCGAGTGCCCACGAAGAGGCGAGATCCGCAGACGCCCGCTGCCACTACGACGCCGCCAGCAGCGAGCACGGCAGGCACCAGGGCTGTCAATAGAGGAAAGAGAACTATGCACATACACCGATTCTGGCCTGGCCCATCCTGAGCCCGGGATCGGTGCATACGCCCTCTGACCTTGGCCAGGAAGGTATATGCACCGATCCTGGGTCAAAGATGGACGTTGTCAGGACCGGTGCATGTGCATAGTTTTAAGTCGGGCATGTCCCCCTACAGAGGGATTTTGGACGAAAGATTAACAATGACCAACACATGCTCAAAAGATGTGCCCAAAAACTCAAAAAATAGTCCCCCATACTATTTTTTGACTATTTTTGAATATTCCCGCTGTAGAGGGACAGGCCCGACTTGACGCTGGGCACGTCAGCTGACGGGTACTTGGCGGGCACTCTGGACAGGCAGGTGCGGCAGGGCGGCGGCTGAGGCACGAGGTGACGCCTGCGCCAGCCCAGGCGGCCAAGCACCTCGTCGTCGTGTTTTGCGCCACCACGAGAGGGGGCCGCTTTTTTTCCACCGCAGCGCACCCCAACCAAGCACAATTCATGAGCCCACTGGTCCGGCATGCCACAGAAAGCAAAAAGGACAGTGCTTCATGACAACGCTGCGTCAGGAGAGCTGGAGGGTCATCTGCGGTGGCGGCAATAAATTCAGGTGGCGAACCACGAGGGGGGGTCGGGGCACACCCCGCTTCGGTCACCACGACCCCCCCCTGGACGCCCTTCGGAGCGACGTCGCTCCTTCCTCTGCGCGTGCGCAGCGGTCCGCGAGGAGCGCCATCGTTTGGGCGCCGATGGCGCGGGCAAGAGAGCCGGGGATCGAATCGATAATCATGATAAATCAGATCGGCGATCGAAATGAATCGGAGCGGCGAAAAATCGGCAGCCGAATCGGGAGAAGTCGAGTCGGCAGAAATCGGCAGTCTAGTGGGCCCCCACGGAGGCATCGTAACCCGAGTCGAAATATCCGAAGCCGAATCGAGTCGGAATCGAAGCCATCGAAATCGAGGGATCGAAACGGCCGAACGAAAGGGGGGGATAGGGAAAGGAGGGGTTACGACACCTGCTGCATGAAGCTGGTTTCGGCCCCGCCGCACGGCCCACTCCTCGATGCATCGAGGAGTGGGCGCCTCCCGGCGCCGGGAGGCGCCCGGAAAATCAGCTACGCGAGCTGATTCTCAAACCCCCCCCTTTGCTATCACCCCCTTACGCCCGGCCCGGGGGGTGGGGCGCTGGGGCAGCACGGGAGCCCTCGGGTCCACCCCCCCGAGAGGCACCGTGGCGCCGCCTGCGCGGGGCCGCCGTCCCCCTGGTGCCACGGGCGAGAGCGGATGTGCAGCTGTGGGTGCCACGGCAATGGACACTCGAGCCGCTCGAACGTTGAATGTGGAACTTCTGTCAGGTATAGTGCGGGCGCGGCCGCGTGAAACCCAACCCTGAGAACCCGTGCGCGAGGTGCACCCCAGGGGAAACCCAGAGCACCCTGAACGCAGCAGCTGCTTCAACGGCTGTGGGAAGTCACCGCGCAGCGCGAGGAGCGAAGAAGCCCAGGATACCCTGACGAACAACATCTGGTTTCTTGATGCGCGCCCCCACTGCATCTTCTACGTGTTGGAAACAAGTCCGAAGCCTGGCTGAACCGTGCTCCAGCGCTTTGAAGACGTGACTGAAACACGTCTTAGGCATCCGGAGATGATTTGGCAGCAGGCCTCCTCTCCCTTGACCGTCTTCCTCAAAGTGTGCAGGATCGGTCAGCACCGCGTCGGGACGTCGCAGGAGGGCACCAACGGTACACCGACACGGCTCTCCTGGCCGGGATCGCCCCGGGCCCAGGACCAGCACGTGCGCCCTCCACTTGCCGTGGGCAGGGGGGCATATCTATCTATCTATCTATCTATCTGATTATCTATCTATCTATCTATCTATCTATCTATCTATCTATCTATCTATCGATCTATCTATCTATATATGTATATATACGCCGATCCTGGGCCCAGGATCGGCCTGGCCAGGATCGGTGTAGGTGCAGAGGTGCAGAGCTGGTGCCACCCGACACTGGCTCGAATCGGAACCTGGCATCTGACGATCGAACAACACGCACCCATACCCATAGGGGGCACGGAGGAGGCTAGGGTGCGTGTTGTCGGATGAGGGTCCCCGCTCGAACGGGAGCTTCCCCCAGCGTCCGACAACTCGCACCCATACCCATAGCCAGTTCCCCTCCTTTCGACCCTCCTATGGGTATGGGCGTGAGTGGTTCGCTCGTCAGCATCGGGATCGGGCAGCGCCTGCACGGGGGCGGGAGTCGAGTCGGGTCGGAGTCGGCCGCGCCAGGATGCGCAGCAGCGCGCTGCAGGCATCGGGCCGCATCGGATCTTCGCGACGTCGACACCGAATCGGCTCGAGCCGGCCGGAATCGACCTCGAATCGGATCGAAGCGGGCCCCTTGTGCGGATGTCCCCAGAGCAAGGTCTTGTGTTAGGTTGTTCCGACCGTACCTCAGGACCACACACCAACAAAAATCTTTTCGAGCACCCAGAATAGTGTCAAAAGGGTGTGGAAACAGTGTCGAACGAGTGTCTCCCAGGGCCCGACACGTGAAAACCCTCGAGTTTCGGTACTTTTTTTGGTGCTCGAAACTCTTCCTGGCGGTCAGGGCAAAAGTAGGTTGGAACATCATAAGTCTTGTGCGGATCTCCCCGAACAAGCAGTCAACGAGCTACCGTAACCAGCGCCGAATAAGAAGCGAAGGGGGCGTTTCTGGCCACGGCGAGCCTCGGCCAGGAGTGGGTTCCCCGGCCTACAGTGAAGTCGGGCGTGTCCCCCTACAGAGGGATTTTGGGCGAAAAATAAAAAATACGCAAAAAGTATTCCAAAATTGTCAAAGGAAATACAACTAATAGTCCCCAGACGATTTTTTGTCTATTTTGAATGTTTCTCCTGTAGAGGGACGGGCCCGACTGAAGCCTACAGTAGGGGCCCGACCACAAGAAACCTTCCACAAGAAGCCCAACCCTGAGACCTCAGGACGTCCATCGGTTTTTGGTGTGGGAACGTCACGCCTTCCGCAGCAAAACCATCGAAATCCAAGAAACCCAGGGCACCCTGGAGGCAAGCAGGGTGTTTAGTGGCATGGGCCCCCACTGCAGGCCAGAGGAACCACCCGAAGACCCCGGAGCTCTCCTGAGCCCAGCGTGGTCCTTGTCTCAGAGCGCTTCACTGTATGGATACGTATGGGCTTAGGGGACTGCCTCGTGCTGCTTCTCTTGCGGCCCACGGGCCAGAGTGTACACACATGGCCCTGAAGATTGCCCTGCCAACGCGCGCGTCGAAACTCGGCCTGCGCGAAGCATGTTGGAAGTGCGAGCGGCGGTGGTGCACAGGATTCACGCCAAGCCAAAAGCGTAGCTCGGCTTGACGCCGCCAGGGCGGCGGGAGGCGGAGGCGGAGGCGGAGGCGGAGGCGGAGGCGGAGGAGGAGGAGGAGGAGGAGGAGGAGGAGGAGGAGGAGGAGGAGGAGGAGAAGGCGCGCCGGAGCAGCGCGTCCCCTCCTGGGCGTTGTGCTGCACCGCTCGCAGCTGCTGGGCGAAGGTCTTGCCGTTCCAGTCGTTGCCGAAGCAGTGGTAGTAGTGGAGGTCGAAGCAGACGTTGCTGTGAGCTCCGCCGGAGGCCTCCTCCTGCCGGGCGGGGAGCACCGGCCAGGGCCAGTCATGCAGCACCGGCTTCTCGGCTACTCAGCCCTCCTCCACATCATCCTCTCCTCCTACTCCTCCTCCTCCTCCTCCTCCTCCTCCTCCTCCTCCTCATCATCATCATCATCATCATCATCATCATCACCACCATCATCATCATCATCATCATCATCATCATCATCACATCATCATCATCATCATCATCATCATCATCATCATCATCATCATCATCATCATCATCATCATCATCATCATCATCATCATCATCATCATCATCCACTCCTCCTCCTCCTCCTCCTCCTCCTCCTCCTCCTCCTCCTCTTTCGCCTTCCCTCCTGCTCTCCTCTCTCCTTCCGCCTCCCGTTCCCTGCTTCCTGCTTCATGATGTCACGAGAGTGCCTGCTGCCGTCTTTCTCCGCCTCCTCTTCCCATCTCCTTCCTCCTCCTCTCTCCTCCTCCTCCTCCTCCTCCGCCTCCTCCTCCTCCTCCTCCTCCTCTTCCCATCTCCTTCCTCCTCCTCCTCCTTCGTCCTCCTCCTCCTCCTCCCCTCCTCCTTTTCCTCCTCCGCTCCTCCTCGGATCCTCCTCCCGACGGAAAGACCGAGCACGGGAACGGGGACGAGTGGACCCTTCGCCCTGATCCGCTTTGGACGGCCCCGTGGCCCGGCAACGGTCCCCGGGCGCCGACTTCGCGGCACGAGCCGCCATATATATACTGTGACTAAAAAAGCACGTCGCCATCGGGGGAGAGCTGGTCGGAAGCGGCGACGGCCGCGTCCCAGGCGGGCAGGAACCCCTTGGCGGAGCGCTGGAAGAGCGGCAGCACCACGGTGACGCGGTCCGCGGGCATGCCGGCCTTCCGGACGACCTGCGGCAGCGACGCACGGCGCGATGGGCCCCCCTGCGCCGCGGGGGGTGCTCTGAGGACTGTTGCAGTCGGGCTGCTCGCGAGGCGGGGCGCTGGAAGGATGGGCCCTCAGCTCCAGGCGGTGCCACAGAGATCGCGACGGCCAGTTGCTCTACGCTCTCGGCCCCGGGGACGTCAAAGAACAGCTCGGGAGGAGACGCCCGCCCGGGGGGGAAGAGAGGGGCGCGACCCACGGGGGCCCACGCCACGAATGAGAGGCATCGCCGGAGGAGAGGGCAGGGACGGATGAGGATCGAGGGAGGGGGGCCGCGGCTCGGATGCCCGAGGATCGGAGGGCGAGGAGCGAGGAGGACCGAGGACCAGACGCGGGGACGTATCCAGGACCGCCGTCTGGGGGGTCGATCTGCGAGGGTCCTCGGCAGGCGGTGGACTTGGATACGTCTAGGCCCCCACACCAGGGCCCGACCACGCCCACGTCCGCCTCCTGCCGCAGTCCCCGAAGACCTATCCCCCAGGCAGTGGTCATGGATGAAGCGCTGCCTCGGACAACTGCCACGAGGAACGCAGAAGAAGGAACAGAAGCCCCTCGTTGGCCCCAAAGGCGCCCAGGTGCACAAGGAGCGCTGGGAAGAGCCACGCAAGGACCTGAGACATGGGGAGCCCCTTCCGAAGCCAGATTCTGCATTTTTTCAGCATCTCGTCTGTTGCTCAGGACGTGCCTTCATGGACTGAGCCCGTGGGCTGCGCCTCGCTACGACCCCTCGGCCGACACCCTGAGACAAGCTTGCTCCGCCGGCGCTTCATCACTGGCTCGCGGCCACCCTCGCGAAACGATGCAACCTCGTGGAGAATGACGGCTGGAGCCCTGCACCCCATCTTTCTGCGCCACTTCTCGGTCGCATCGATCTGCGAGGGCCCCCTGGGCCCGCATCCGGGCGACGACGATGAAAGTGCGACGCCAGGATCTCCAGGTACGCTTGACGATGCTGAACTCCAGGGGACTCTGGGGGGGAGCGATCAATTGCGGGGCAGCGAGGGCTGCAGAAAAGGGGCCCTGCAGGGCACCGAAAAGAGCCCTGTAGGGCCCAGAAGGGGGCCGTTAGAGCCCGAGGCGTGCCCCCTTCTAGCTCCCCCCATCCATTTCTCGCCCCCCCCGCCACCCCCGCCTGAGCGACGCCCCAGGGAAACGGGTCGGGGGAACGCCCGGCGGGGGTGGAGAAGTAACGCGCAAGGACGGGCGGGGAACGCCGCGCGAGCCGGAGCGGACCGCCTGCCTGAACGGCTCGCGAGTAAAACCGGCACAGCACGTCGGCCGGGACGCTGTTCGACGGCTCGTTGCACACCTCGATGCCGGTCACAGCCGAGCTGGAGCGGTAGCGCTTCGCCAGCACCTCGCGGGGCCACGCCGTGCCTCCCCCGCCCCTGCCCTCCGGAACCCTTGTTTTGCTCCTCCTGCATCCTCCTCCTCCTCCTCCTCCTCCTCCTCCTCCTCCTCCTCCTCCTCCTCCTCCTCCTCCTCCTCCTCCTCCTCCCTCCCTCCCTCCCTCCCTCCCTCCCTCCCTCCCTCCCTCCCTCCCCCCCCCCTCCCTCCCTCCTCCCTCCCTCCCTCTCCCTCCCTCTCCTCCCCTCCTCCCATCCCCGCTGCTGCTCGTGCCTCTCGCACCTCCTTCGAGCTTCGAGCTGGGCCTGCGCCTCCAGAGCGGCAGCGGGCCTCGCCCTCCCCCCCCCCCACCACCACCCCACCCCACACACTGGGGCGCGCCGATGGGGGGAGAGCCAGGAGGTTAAAGGGGGAACAGGGAGAAACACCGACCGAACGGCAAAGACGAAGAGGTGGTGGGGACCTTACGCCAACGACCGAACGGCGAAGACGAAGAGGTGGTGGGGATCTTACGCCTCCTCCTTCTCCTCCTCCTCCTCCTCCTTCTCCTCCTCCTCCTCCTCCTCCTCATGCTCCTCCTCCTGCTCCTCCTCCTCCCGGCCCTTCCTCCTCCTCCTCCTCCTCCTCCTCCTTCTCCTCCTCCTCCCACTCCTCCTCCTGCTCCTCCTCATCCTCCTTCTCCCCCTCATTCTCCTCCTCTGTCCTTGTCCCGGGGGCCCGAGCACTGCCCTTGAGGGCCGAAATCGAGGAAAGCTTCTGGCTGCTCCCCCTCCTCCTCCTCCTCCTCCTCCTCCTCCCCTCCTCTCCTCCTCCTCCTCCTCCTCCTCGCTCCTCCTCCTCCTCGCCTCCTCCTCCTCCTCCCTCCTCCTCTCCTCTCCTCCTCCTCTCCTCCTCCTCCTCCTCCGCCTCCTCCTCCTCCTCCTCCTCCTCCTCCCCTCCTCCTCCTCCTCCTCCGTATGCTCCTCCTCCTCCACCTCCCCCTATCCCTCCTCCTCCTTCTCCTCCTCTCTCCTCCTCCTCCTTCACTCCTCCTCCTCCTCCTCCTCCTCCTCCTCCTCCTCCTTCCTCCTCCTCCTCCTCCCTCCACCTCCTCCTCCTCTCCTCCTCCCTCCTCCTCTTTTGCTCTCTCCTCCCTCCTCATCCTGCTTTTGCTTCTCCTCCTTCCTCCTCTCCTCCTCCTCCTCCTCCTCCTCCTCCTCCTCCTCCTCCTCCTTCCCTCCGTCCCTCTGTCCCCCCCGTCCCTCCCTCCCCCCCCCATCTCTCCATAAAGTTAAACTTTCGGAGGTCCACGCGGACTTCCCAGATCAACGGTGACCCCCCCCCGCTCCGCGCGCACAAGAATGGGGCTCCAGTGCCGACTCCAGACATCCGCACGGACCTCCCAAAGTTTAGGTCATGTCGGCGGCGAGCCCGGGGGGGAAGGAGGAGGAGGAGGAGGAGGAGGAGGAGGAGGAGGAGGAGGAGGAGGAGGAGGAGGACGAGGAGGAGGAGAGCAGAGCAGAGCAGCGCCGATGATCCGATGAAGTCCATCGCCTTGAGACAACCGCACCCTGCAGGGCCACAAGGAAAACAAAAAACGGATCGGGCGTTCGAGAACCACTTAAGGGGCCCGAGATTCTGTGGGGCCCTGCAGGGGGATTCCACTGGCATACGAACGAGACCCCCAAATCGGGAACACCTAGGGGGCTCGCCTATGCACTCCCTCCACTGAACAGGGCCGAGGGACGGCGACGCATTAAACCGACCCCAGCACAACCCCTTTCAGCCCTCCTCGACGCGGCGCGGCACGGCCCAAACGTCCGAGGTCCGCAGGGAACCCGAGAGACGACCCTCGCCCAAGGAACTCGCCGCCAGCCGAAGCTGGCGGGAGGCCTCCGAAAGCCTCTGGAGCGTCTCTGCGCCGATGGAGGCCTGAATGGGGGGGGTCCTAAAGAAAAGTCTAACCTCCAGGGCCCCATCCGAGTACTCGAGGATCGGGGAGAGGGTCCGAGCCTGGAGGGCGAGGAGAGTCCCGTCAGTGAGGCGGCCCTGGAGGTACAGCTCAGCGGCACGGCGCGAGCCATTGACGGATTGCAGCCTGAAACGGGCAGGTCGACTCAGAGCTCGTCGTCGTCCTTGTCCCTGTCCTCGGGCGCCGCCGCTGGTTTGTCCTTCATCCCGAGCTGCGCCAGCAGCTTGGAGGCCTCGCGCTCCAGGCCGCCTCTCGGCGGCGCCCCTGGGAGAAAGCGCACGGTCTGGTCCTTCTTGTCTGTGCCTGCCGCCATGACCGTCTGCTGGACCGCCTCCATCAATGAAGCTGCGCCGTCGCCCCAGGGGTTCGCCTGTTGCGGGATGCCGAGCATGATCTGGAGCTTGAACCTGTCGGGCTTGGTGAGCTTCTTCTTGTCGTACCAGCAGGCCTTGAGTCGAAAGTGGCGGCAGTGAATCGCCAGCGTCTCGAGCGCCGACGGAGCTAGGATGACCTTCCGCCAGTAGTCCTGGAACACCGTCTGCGCTGCCGCTGGCGTCGTGCTGGCCCCCTCCGTGCTGCATGCCCACTTGATGAACGCCTTGAACACATGCGGCCAGGGAGGGCCGTGCTGGTGGTCCTTGCCGTCGGCCTTGCAGTTCTCGGCGTACGTCTTGCCCGTCTCCTGCAGCACCTTGACGAACGGAACCTCTGCCCCGACCATGTACGAGGTGTAGCAGGCGCCAGTCACCTCGGCCAGCTCGCGCGCGTTGGTGAGGGCGAGCCTCGTGAGGACAACCAGGAGCGCCGCGAGCGCTCCTCCCTTGCCGTTCTTCTGGTTGGCCTGCGCCTCTTGTCCGAGCTCCGCGAGCAATCGGGCCTGCTTGACACCCTTGGAGTCGCTGGTCCCCTGGCCCTTGCGTTTCCCGACCGCCCAGCTGGGCTCGTCGAGATCCATCACCTCCAAGCACGAGCGGGAGGTCCTCGAAATGGATGCGCGTATGGAGGTGGAGAGCAGGCTCGGAAAGAACTTGAGCCTCACATAGTCGGCAACGGAAAGGGCCTGTCGGCGGGACGAGCTCGAGAGTGGTACTGAGCTGAACCTTGCAGAAGCCCGAAGCGAACGAGTCCAGCACGTGGTTGTAAGCCGAGTTGCGAGACTGAAACCTGCTGCCACACACGAAGCACGAAGCGCCCTGGACAGCCTCAGCCAACAGGGTTTTGTAACCATGAGCGGCCCGAACGTGAACCAGCCACTGACGTTTCGTAAGGAACCATTTGGCGCAGTTCCCGATGGAGCAGCGAAAGCCCTCACCTTGTCCTGCGGGGATCTCAGGTGGTGCCTCTTGATGGGGACCAGACGTGCCTGCAGGAGGGATGCTGACCGAGAGCCACGCGGCCCTGACGACCGAGAGATCCAACTCCGTGAACCAGTCCCGCAAGTCCCCCTCCTCGAGAAACTCCAAAGGGGCTCCTGACCAGGAGCGCATATCCTCCTCAGTGTCCACAGACGTCCTCCGAAGCGCCTCGAAGTCCCCGACGTACTGGATGGCCCAGGGGTTCGCCGTCACCGTGAGATGGCCCTCGGGTGTGAGGGTTCGGAGGCCTCGCATTTTCTCGATGTTCATGTCCCCGAAGAGAGGGGCCCACTCGCCTAGATGTCGTGCGGGCTCTCGAGCCCATTGCTGGTACCACCGCAGACGTCTGACACGGAACTCGATCTCGAGAGGAGGGACCCGCCAATACCTCAAGACCGCCTCGGAAGGGACCGAACGAGCGTGGCCCCCCTCCCAAGACGTCGCGGCACCCCTCATAGCTTTGCGCCCGAAGAATACGACCCGCGCCGTGAGCTGGTCAATCTGGTTGGGGGACGGCAAGAAGGCCTCGCAGGCGGAGCACGCAGGGCCCACGACCCTGGCCAGGAACACAGCGCGTCGCTCGGTGTAGGCGATCCTCCGAGCGTACCAATACTTTCCCATGGAGAAGAAACCCGCCGAGATGGCCGCCAGGCGGGCCGATAGCTCGGCCCGAAATGAACAGTTACCCATGACCTGGCCTCCAAGATGTCGGGTCGAGTCTGCTGGGGCCCCTGCAAGAAGAACCTTTTTTTTCCGCCACTTCACGCCGCCGTGCATGTAGCCCCGTGCCCACGAAGGACAAGAGGCTGACGTTCTTGGCTGGGTTGAGCGCGTAGCCGTGGCGTCGAAGCTCAGCAGAAAGAAGCAAGTCGTATGCTCGGGACCACCGCGCGAGCTCCGCGGCCGTGGCCTGGTCGGGCGGCACCACGATCTTCCGAATGGCGTCATCTACGTATGAGTGAAAAGCCAAGTCCAGAAGAATCTCCTCACCGTCAAAATTGAGCGTGAGCTGGCACCAGGTAGCCGTCTCGGAGCCAAACTCTGCAAACTGTTCCTGCACCTTCGCAAAGACGGTGCTGATGTCCCGCACAAAGACCTTCACCGCCCACGGGTCGCCGATGAGAGCCCCGACGCTGGGGCGCACGCAGAGGTCGCCGAACATCACGGCAGCAAAGCGGAAACGCTGGCGGCCGAACGAAACATGGTCGTCCTTCATGATGCTCTGGTTGGCGTCTGCGAGGCTGTCCCAGTTGGTGGACGCGAAGGCGTTGGTGATGTCCTTGAGGTCGGTGACGTGATTGAGGCCGAGGGAGCGCAGCTTCCATGTGCACAGCTGCTGGCCCAGGATGGCCGTCTCTCTGCGCCGATGAGGTATACAGCCATGAGCGAAAAGGGGTTCGTCCTGGAGCTCGTGTGGGTCCATCGCCGTGGCCATGAAGCCCTTGCCGAAAGGGTCGAGGAGGTGAATGACTCTCTTCCAGGTGAGCGCCACTCCTTGGCTCAAGTGCCACACGAGCGGGACCTGGCCAGAACGTCGGAGCCTGTGGAGGAAGATCACCAGGAAACGCCACGTGTGCTCCTGATCGATCTGCGGTGTCTCGTAGCCAACTCCGTGGTAACGCCTGGACACGCGGCGGTACGGATGAAGCAGCATCCACCATAGTTCCAGCGGAACCGACCACGGAGGGCACGCACGACGCTTGGGAGCCCGTCGTAGCCAATCGCGAAGCTCGCGAAGACGGCGCTTGGCCCAGCACAGGCCCTCCTCGGTCCACGGAGCGATGAACTGCTGCGCCTCCTGGCCCGTGACGTCGTGGTAGACGTAGTCCTCGGCCTGCTGGACCCAGTCGATGTGGGTGGCCGCCATGCCCCCTTCGCCAGCTGGCAGCGACCAGCGCTCGGCCAACTCCTCCCCCGTGGGGAGGGCCACAGGCGCCCGTCGGTAGTCTCTCTTGCGGGGGCCCACACCTGTGCCAGCAAGGAGTCGGGAGAGGCGGGCCACCTCAGCGCTGCGTCCATGTCGTCGGGCCTGGTTGAGCTCGTCTACTGTGTCCATTCGCCACGTAGCCCAGTACTGTCTGCGGGCCGAGCGGAGCCACTTGGTGTGGCGTCGGAGCTGCCACTGCACGGATAGGAGGGCCAGCGCGCCATCGGCGCTGTCCGAAAAGTGGTCGTCGCTGAGCTGGAGTCGGAGAGCCCGCTGTTGGTCCAAGAGCGGCTGGATGGTGGCGGCCAGTGTGCGATATCCAGGGCGGTACTCAGGGGCCTGAGCGAAGTGCCTGCTGCCTACGAGGAGGAGGAGGAGGAGGAGGAGGAGGACGAGGAGGAGGAGGAGGAGGATCGAGGGTCGAGCCCCTCAGGGAAAGGGGCCAGGGCTCCTGGGGGCTGCGGCGGAGCTGCACACAGGGGCTGGGCGCCCAAGGGGGGTGGGCGCCGGGGTGCGGAGGCCTGCTGTCGCAGTTGAGGTCGGCGGCGAGCGAGGGGGGGAAATGAGAAGGGGCGGCGTTCTCAGAAGGCCAGGAAAGGAAGACCGCCGGCCTTCTGAGAATTAAGTTTCCTGAGCCTTCCCCAGAGACGCAGAGACAAACAACCTCTCAGGCGTCCCGAGGCCTTCTTGAGAAGCCGCCTCCTGAGCATGCCTCCGCCTCGTCACTCCGCCCCCCTCGCTCGCCGCCGATCATCACGTCAGCGCCTGTGCCCCGAACCTCTCCCGCCTCCTCGCCCTCGCCCTGCAGGCCCTGGCGCCTCCTCGCCCTCAGAGCGCCCGCGCGACCCGCGCTGCATGGGGCCAACTCCCGCCAGCCCACACCGACTGGGCGCTCCCCTCGCGCCGGCCCCCGGGCCTGCTGTGCCGGGAGGCCTCGACGGGGCCCGAGCCAGCGCCGGGGGCCGACGGCATGCGCCAGTGCGCGTCGGGCGCCGGCGCCTTCTGCGCAGCAGTTGTCTGGGGGCCCTCCGGCGCATCGGGCCGCCGGTAGACGTTCCATGCTGCTGCCAAGCCCCGGCGCTGTCTGGCCTTCCGGGCAGGAGAGTGAGCAACAAAGCGTGCCCCTCACCCTTTGGGAGGGGACCTAAGTTAGGAGAGCCAAGGTCATCAGGGGGAGGGGGTCTTCTCTGCAGATGTTTTCAACAACACCGTCAAGACTTCTGACCCCTAATGCGAAGACGGAGACCTCAGTGAGGCCACGTCTTCACTGTGCAATTAGGGTCGGGGATTCTCGATGAGAAATTGCCCCACGTAAACAAACAAAAACTAGGGAAGGCGAGAGTTCATTGATCCTCCCCTCTCCCATCCCCCCCAGGGCGCCCCCCCGCGCCCTGCCCGCCCGCCCGAGCGCGGTGGCGGAATCGCGCGGCAGGACAAAAAACTGGACAGAACTGAGAGACGATCTGATTTTGCTTCCGCCGGCGTCGCTTCCTTTGCTGCGGCCTCGGGGCTCGCTCTCGGGCCCCCATAAGGGCCATCGAGCGTGGAACCTGGGAGGATCACCGCTGCCCCCCTGGAAGCCGCCGAGACTTCCCTGGGGCCGCGGCCCTGCCACCACCACCGCACTGGCGGGGGCCAAGGGCCCTCGCCGCCGCCGCCGCTGCCGCTGCCGCCGCCGCCGCCGCCGCCGCCGCCGTGGTGGGTCTCGAGCTGCCCCCCTCGGCGGCCGCGCGGGCCGCGGGCCCGCGGGCGCCTGCAGGGCGCGCAGCGACTCCCCGAAGCGCCAGCTCCTGGGAGGCACCCGCGGGGAGGGACTGGCTCCCAGGACCGCCTCGCGCAGGCCCTTGCACTGGGCTACAGCTCGGGACAGTCAAGGGACTGCTCGGGACGAGAAGCTGCCATCCAGGGAGGGTCCAGACTCCAGTCCGCGACTCGGCCCCCTGAGGCCATGAGCCGCCTCAGGTGACTTTGCTCCCATTGTACTCAAGGGCCACATCCAAAAAGTAAGTTCGAGCGTCCAGAAAAGTGTCAAAACAGTGTCGAAAACGAGTATCGCCTCCCAGGACCCGACACGTGAAAACCCTAAATTTTCTGTACCTCCTAGGCTAAAGTAGTTTGGAACATCATAAGCCTCAGGCTATTCGGAGGAGAAAGAGCACATTTTGAATTCGCGACGATCACGTGCGTTAGAGAGGGGGAGAGGCGGGAAGGCGAGGGAGGGGCATGACGAAATACCGCCCCCCGCCGTGTGGGTCCGGCCAACATGCTGGGGACGCACTGGGGGGCGGGGGGGAGGCGTCACGTTCTGGGGGCGGAGGGGAGGGGAGGGGATGGGGGTGGGGGTGTGGAATAGCGCGCGCGATGGCCCAGAGGGCAGCAGCACCACACCATGCTCGAGAGGCGGGGGGAGGAGGGGGAGGGGCAGGGAAGGGAGAGCGGGGAAGCGGCAGGGGGGGGCGGCGCGAGGCTGCCAGGGCTCCACCCCCCGTCGGCGCCCCCCGAGCTCCGCCAGCTCCAGCCGCCTGGGCCGGGGGGCTGGTGCCGCCCGCAGGGGGCGTCCGCGCTCTCGCCGCCGGGCGCGCCGTGGAGGTCCAGGAGCACCTGTCAGGTGACGGGCGAACAGCACACACACACACACACACTATGGAGAGGGGAGGAGGAGATGGAGGAGATGGAGGAGGAGATGGAGGAGGAGATGGAGGAGGACGAGGAGGAGGACGGGGCCAAGGGTGCGTGTTGTCGAATGGTGGTCCCCGCTCGAACGGAAGCCGAGGGCCCGACAATCCGCGCCCATGCCCATCGCCAATCCTCCTCCCTCCGACCTCCCTATGGGTCTGTGTGTAATCCTGGGGCTCCTCCTCCTCCTCCTCATCCTCCTCCGTGCATAACGGCCTTAATTTGCATACAACTTGTCCCCTGTTGCCATTCCGCCGGAGCAGTCACCCTCTGCCCAGCCGCCGATGCAAAAAACATGTGTGTGTGTGCGTGTGTGCGTGTGTGCGCGTGCGTGTGTGTGTGTGTGTGTGCGTGTGTGCGCGTATGTGTGTGTATATGTTTGTGTGTGCGTGTGTGCGTGTGTGCGCGTATGTGTGTGTGTGTGTGTGTGCCTGTGCGTGTGTGCGCGTATGTGTGTGTGTGTGTTCGTGTGTGTGTGTGTGTGTGCGTGTGCGTGTGCGTGTGTGTGCGTGTGCGTGTGCGTGTGCGTGTGCGTGTGCGTGTGCGTGTGCGTGTGCGTGTGCGTGTGCGTGTGCGTGTGCGTGTGCGTGTGCGTGTGCGTGTGCGTGTGCGTGTGCGTGTGCGTGTGCGTGTGCGTGTGCGTGTGCGTGTGCGTGTGCGTGTGCGTGTGCGTGTGCGTGTGCGTGTGTGTGTGCGTGTTTGTGTGTGTGTGTGTTCGTGTATGTGTGTGTGTGTGTGTTCGTGTGTGTGCGTGTGTGTATGTGTGTGCGTGTGTGCTGTTCGCTCGTCGTCCGGAGGGCCAGATCCGGACGGGGCAGGCCCGGGCGGAGACCGAGCGAGGTCCGTGCGGACGCACGGCGTGCGAGCAGCGCTCTGGAGGAAGAACAAAACAGCATCACCGTGCACTCTCTCGAGTCGGGCGAAAGGAGGGGATAGCAAAGGGGGGGGTTGAGAATCAGCTCACGTAGCTGATTTTCCCGGCGCCTCCCCGCGCCAGAGGCGGCTATGTATCGAGGAATGGGCCCCTCGGTGAGGCCGAAACCAGCTGCATGCAACAAATTTCGTAACCCCCCCTTTCCAAATCCCCCCCTTTCGCCCGGCCCGACTCTCGACGGTCCGCGCGGATGTCTTGGTTCTGCGCTGGAGCCCCCTCCCCGGCGCGCGGAGCGCGCCAGGGGTGGCGCCGCAGACGCCAGGGGAGCCCCAGCGCAGATCCAAGAGATCTGCGCGGACCGTTGAGGATTGTGTTTGTAGAACTGCTGTTCCCCCTTTGATAGGCATCCTGTCCAGACGGGCTAAGTCCGGACGGAGCAAGCCCGGACGGAGACCGAGCACTCTGCGGACAGACTTACTCCGCACGGACGTAGCATCCCCTGATTTGGATGCCCGAAATGGATACGGAAAAGATGGGTACGATGCTCAACCAGAACTGTTGTCCAAAACCGACAGCAGCCGCCGTTGGGAGGTGATTTTTCTCAAATGGACACCGACAGCGGCGACGCCGACAACGGATCCTGTTCAGCCTGAACGAGCACGGCTGCTGGACTTTCTGCCGTCTCTTTCCGTACCGATTGCGTTCGTCCCCATCCTCCTCCGCCTCCTCCTCCGCCTCCTCCTCCTCCTCCGCCTCCTCCGCCTCCTCCTCCTCCTCCGCCTCCTCCGCCTCCTCCTCCTCCTCGGCGACGGCCTCCTCCATCGATCGTTTTTTCTTCCTCGGGCCGCGGTCGTTGCCGACGAAGGGCGGGGGGGGGTTCTCGACCGGTGCGGCGGCAGCGGGGCACACCCACCAGGGCGCGCCCCGGCCGCCCGGCGCATCCATCGCCTGTGTGCGCCAAATCTTGCAGGGAGGGATCCAGACCCCCCCAGTACGATCGCTGGAGTTATAAAGCAGAGAAGCGCGGCAGAACCATAAACTTTTGACGCTCCGCGCTGGGCCCACCTCCCTGGCGCGCGGAGCGTGCCAGGGGCGGCGCCGGAGGCGCCTCCGGGGGGGCCCCGGCGCGGATCCAAGAAATCCGTGCGGAGTGCCAAAAGTTGGGGGGGGAGGGGGGGACGTTAAGGGGGGGTCAGGAGGGGAGGGCCTCTCAGAGGGAGGGGGGACGAGCCGCACGCACGGCGGAGAGACACTGGGGCGGAAAGTAGGCCAGGAGCGGCGAGGGCCTGTTCCGCGTCCGCGCCCTCGCGGTCTGGATGCCGCGGGCGCGCGATTGCCGCGGCCACGCGGTCACAAGGATGCACGCCGGGGGGGGGGGGCGGGGGGGGGCATCCGCGGACAGACGCACCGCACCTGCGGGGTCGCGGCCCAGGGGCCCGCATCCGCGAGGCCGCGGACACGGAGGGGTGTCTTGCGCCCACGGCAGGCGTGCGGAGGCGGAGAGCAGCGCACGAGCCCGCGCGCACGGCGCGCCAGGGTTCGAGCGGAACGGCAGCCTTCGTTCCCGTTCTGCTTTCGGATTCGCTCGTTCTGTCCTCGCTCTGCTGAGACAGCGGTGCACGAAATCGCCTAAACACACACACACACACACCGTTTCACTCGAGCCCGCGCGCACGGCCACCGCGCGAAGCGCGCGCGCCCTGCGCTCCACGCAGGGCGGCCAGACGGGGCGGGCGCGCAGCCGGAGCGCAGCCGATGGGCATCACGAGGAGGGCGGGGCCGAAAGCCGGGCGGCGGCAACCCTCGCTCCGTGCGGCACGGGACTCGCTCTGCCGGGGCGCGAAGCGGTGGGAGCCTGTTGTCTGTAGAGACAGGCAGGTGTACGTGCGTGGCGTCGGCGCCCTCCCCATCCTCCCCTCCCCGCCCCCCTTCACTCGAAGACGAGCGTGCAGGCGCCTTGGACCTGCGTGCTCTCCGCACGCGTCAAGTTGCTTTCGGCTTGCTTCAGGCTCAGCCCCCCCCCGTCCGTGCAATTTCAGCTTGCCTGGAACTGAAAAAATGGCTCTGACCAGAAGGAGCGGACAGACGAGAAGCCGGGAGGCAGGGGGGGAGCACCGATCTGGACGCGGCGGTGCAACGCCGACGGCTTCGCGATTTGCCCCCGATTGCGAATGTCCCTCTTCAGAACGAGTACTCAACAATAGTCCAACAATGATATCGGAACGATACTATTTTTGACTATGGTTGAACATCTTTTGCAGTTGTTTGAAGCGATTTGGGATAGATGCGAGCACTGCCCCTGAGATCGGCCCAGCGCTCAGGCGAGAGCCTCATTGGCCGCCAACTGACAATCAGAAACGAATCCCGAGGGCGACATTGGGGAAGCGGTCCAAGCATCTGGCACCTCGGGCTGAAAAATAAGACCGCTGGATGTCGGGGCAGTCGGCCTGCACGTCGGCTCGCTCCTGTCGGATTCCTGTAGTTCCCTGGCCTCCTCTCGGCCTGACAAGAGAATTGCGACGGAAGGTGTTCGGCAATTTTGAAGGGGCCCTGCCTGGGATACAAACACACACAAATACACACAACTAACAGGATTCCCCCTCTATTTCCCATATGTTTAAAGTCTTTGTCTTTCCCCCCACTTCCCATAGTTTCCCCCCACTTCCCATATTGTCTGGGTTTTTGTCTTCCCCCCCACTTCCCATATTTTCCTGTATTTTCTGGGTTGTTGTCTTCCCCCCTCCTTCCCATAGTCTCCGATACTTTCTGGGGAATCGACGATTACTTGTGGCTGTGTGTTCCCCCCTGCTGAAATGTGGTCTGCCTCCGGAGCTCGTGTCGGGCCCGAGCCGATAGGCCAGCCTGCGCGGACCACCCCATCTTCGGCTAAGGTCGGGCTGCTGAATTAAGGAACGCCGCCGCCGCCTCGCGTCGTGTCGTCATCGTGGGGCCCCGGACTGCTTTTTGACAATTTTTCAATATTCCCCCTGTAGAGGGACAGGCCTGACTTCAGCCTAGGCAAGAGGGGCCTCTGGTGCGCGACTTTCGGGGGGGGGGGGCGCGGGGGGGGCCAGATCGCCGAGCGCGCAAGAGACGCCGGCCGTCGCCTCGCGTCGTATCATCATCGTGGGGCCCCTTGTGCGCCCGCGCCAGAGGTCACTCTGGCGAAACGAACGTCACCCTTGCGTGTGGCCGAATCTCCACGCCGTCTGGGGCTCAGGTCGGGCATGTCCTCCCACAAAAGGATCTTGGTGGACATCCAAAACGTACATAGAATGATACCGGAGAGAAACCCCAAGCATAATCGTTTTAGGGCTGTAGGGCTATAGGGCTACAGGGCTATATGGGCTCTTGGGCGCTGTATGGGCTATTGGGCTATATGGCTATATGTGATATAGGGCTATAGTGGTATAGGGCTATAGGGCACCCCCGGGCACCCGGGCGTGCGGCGAAAATCGGCGGCAAACCTAGCCTAACCATATGAATCCGCTAGGACCCCTACAGAGGCAAGCTCTGATTGGGGAATAAGGAACGAAGCCCCTCTGTGGCTTCAGAAAAGCCTGGGTGCGCGAGAAGGGCTAGAGGAACAACCACGGAAGGACGTGAGGAACATCGGGCCCCTTCCGAGTCCAAACTGTTCCTTATTTCAGCGTCTTGGCTGTAGTGCATTAGCAGATTCGGCCGTCCTTCACCACCACCCTACCCGCTGCCACGATTTACCCATCTGCGCAGCGCGGGGAAAACGTTCGAGTCTCACCTGACGCAATATACGCCGGATGTGCGGCCCATGCGAATGTGATCACTGGATCACTGGATGGATGGCGTTGCCCGCGCGTCCGAACGAGAACGGCCCAGCCATTCGCATACCCGACAGCCATGTCTACGATACCTATGCGGTCGCCGCCGCGACGTTGAGAAGACAGCGTCGTACCTACATTCATCGTGTTACCTGGAGGAGCGCCAAACGAAGAACGAAGGTTGCGGGGACGGGAATTGGCACACACGAGGGTGGCGCCTCAGCCGGGGAGGGGGGGCGATACTGGATTCTGGTGCT